ATTTTGGGTCACATGCAGGCTTTGTCTCACATTTTTGTTTTCCACAATTATTTAAAAGCCATTTTTTGACCCTTGATTTAGACTACTTTGTTCTAACAAATTTTACACTAAGGGTACTTAAGCCAGGGTTAGGGTTAGTTTTAATCTCTTTTAGAAAAATATCTTCCTACTACTCTTCTCTGAATCCCTATTACCTTTTATACTCATCTCCACATCCTCCTTCCCATCCATATCCCTTTCCACACCCACAGACATATTTCCTTCCTCATCCCCATCTCTTGCCCATACTCCTAGCCCATACCCATCCACACCCATATTCCCATCTGTCCATACTCACAGCCGTATCCTCACCTATACTGTCATGTCCCCACTTCTCATCACACCACTTCTCATCTTCACCCATATCTCTGTCACCACCCTCCCCTCACATCTCTATCCCAATCCATATTCACATTCTGCATCCATAAAAAAGCTCGGGCAATCAGTCCAAGATTACATGGCTAACAAATGAGAGTCACAATATTTGAACCTGAGTAATCTGATTCCAGAGACAGTAATCTTAACTACTTGCATTACTGTTCTCCACTAGCAATTAGGCTTTGGACATTTCATCTCCTTTTTCAAGGCCATACTTTCCATTTGCAGAATAGAGAAGTAGCTATGACAGCTGGGAAGAGACATGCCCATGACATGATTTAGATGGTTCACACACGTAGCATTAAATATCGATTCGCACTGTGAGACGATGACTTCCTTTCTCTTTTTCAAATCTGCCAATTATGTCAGAGAAAAAAAGGCTCAGTCTGAATCAGCTATCAGATTCATAATATCTGTCTGACACATGCTAATTTACAAGAAGAGTAAGCATCAAGACTTGCTATGCTTTCAACAGACAGTTAAAATAGCTGGAGTTTTAAAAATGCTTTATCTGCGTTTTGCTTGTTAATGATCCACTGGCACCATATATTGTAACACAAGGGATAAAAGAAATGTCCAAATCCAGAGCTCCACATAAAATTTTACAAAGCCAAATTATTAATAATTTATTAATTCAGCCAATAAAGTATTTGTTCTTAGTTGTTAAGCAAATCCTTGGTTACTTACTGTTGTTACTTTTTTGGAGTTTCATGTGACCATCACAGAGTTCTGCATTCATTGGCTGTCATACGATGGCTTATAACACTGCTTCCATCTAATCTCATGCATTTCACAGTAGGAAAGGAGAGGGAGAGCTGATCTCAGACACTTGTTTCCCATTAACAGGAAATCAAAAGAATTTGACCTAAGATACAAATTGTGTGGCTGACTCCAGTAGCAAGAGAGGCTAAAAATGTGTCTGCACACGATGGAATACTATGCAGCATACAGGAACAATGGTTTTGTAAATTACTCCCTAACTTAGGAGGGACTGGAGAGCATTATGCTGAGTGAACTAACTCAGTCCTATAAGGACAAATACTGTATAAAACCATTATTGTAGAATAAGTATGAGGATACTGGGGGGGAGGGAAGCAGAGGGTTGAGGATATAGCAGGAGGGGAGAGTAAGCATGGGGTTGTACAATTTGATAGGTGGAGGGTGAGGGAAATTGGAAGAATCTCTTCTGGAAAACAATGTATTGGAATTTTGTAAATAAACTAGCATAATAAAAAAATTAAATTAAGAAAAGTGTGGGGAAAAAAGTGTCTGGATGCATTTTCACCTGGGCCAACCAAGACTTTAACAATAAGATAGGGAAATGGAACTTGGGCTCTGTAATAGACAGTGTTTGTGAAAGGCTGGGAGCTGGATGAGTCTTCTCAGTGTGTGTAAGTAAAAATTTAGCAATTTAAGCAGCAAGTGAATTTCTCTTTTCCTTGTTTGCCTCTAAGACTCCACTGTCCCTGCCTGCCTACAGTTCAAGCATCAGGCAATGAAAAGTAGTAATATTGTCAGAGTTGTGCATATTGTTGTTAAGTACTGTTGAGTAGGAACTGACTTATAGCTGAACCTCTAGTGGATTTTTAGGATTTTAAACGCTGTAAATCGCACAGGAGTTGAGTGCCCATATTTCATCTGTAGAACAAGCACTGGCAGATTTGAACCAAGTGTCTTTGATTGGCTGCACCCTGGTCACCTGGTGGTAAGAATCTGTGCTGCAGTTCCAAAAGCGTGAGGTTTGAAGTCACCAGACACTCTCTCCTTCTGTGTAGTTAAACTGGCTCTGAAAACCTATTGGAGGATCAGAAATGAGTAGGTTCTGACTCAACAGCACACAACAGAATTCCAGCATGTGCATGTGCATGTGCTTGTCCCTGTTACCTCAAAAATTAAACACATTGTTGAGTTTTTTAGCTTCTCCTTATTTGTTACCCTAACTCAAAGCACTAAGATAACCCTCACCTTTACTGTCTCGTTTTTAAGTTGTTGTGTACCCTTGAGTCAGAATTGACCCAGCGATGACCATCCAGTGGGTTTTCAGAGGCAGTAGATGGCAAAAGAGGAGATTGCCGATCCTTCTGTCAGAGCAGTTGGTGGATTTGAGCCACATATCTTTGGGATTACAGAGCATCTTCTTACCAGGAGGCCCCCAGAACTCCCTTCTTGTTTGTGTGGAAATCCATTCACTTGTTTATACCTCCCTTCTGGGTAGATTACAGTTCAACATACAGAAAACAAAATCTCACAACTGGATAGTAATAAATGGAGAAAAGATTGAGGTGTTTAAGACGTTAATCTTACATGAATCTATAATCAATATTCATGGAAGTAATAATCGTTAAATCAATAGATGTATTGCATTGGGTAAATCTGCTGTTAAAGACCTAGTTAAAGTGCTAAAGAGCAAGGACACCACTATAAAGACTAAGGTGCACCTGCCCTGAGACATGATATTTCCTGCCCCCCCTTTAAAAAAAATCATGATTTTAATGAAAGTTGATGAAAAAGTTTTATTTTTGCTCATTCATTGTTGCACATTTTCCTACCTAGAGCCACGATACTTTCAGTTGCTTCATATGCATGTGACAATGAATAAGGAAGATCAGAGAAGAAATGTTGCCTTTGACTTCAGTTGCTGGAAAAGATTACTGAATATTCCATGCACTTCCAAAAGAACAAACAGATCTACATTGAAAGAAGTGCAGCTCTTCCGTGCTCTTCAGAGGCTGGAATGGTAAGATGTTGTCTCACATCCTCTGGGCATATTGTCGGGAGAGATCAGTCCTTGGAGAAATATATCATGTTTGGAAAAGTAGAAGAAAATCTTCATCAGTGAAGGAGAGTAAATCCTCAGGAGACAGCCTGACACAGTCATCGCAATAACAGGCTTAATAATAATAATGAAGATTGTGAAGATAATGCTTGTTCAGGCAAGGCTTTAATTTGTTGTATATAAAGCCAGAACATGTACCTCCAAGTATATACCCTAGAAATGAGATTTAAAATTGCATCAAATTCCAGCTTATGTGATGAGAATGAAGAAGGGAGTCAACTTTGCCCATAAGCTCTGAGTTCATGGTAGCAGAGGTGGCCAAAAATACTCAGAGGGAAGGAGGGCGAGGAGTTAAGTGTCAGACCTGCAAGCCAGACTGCTGGGGTTGAAGTCAGGTTCTGCTCCCATTGTTGCTGTGGCTTTGGGTGAATTATTTACCTTCCTGTCCTTGTATTTCCTCATCTATAAAACAAAGATAACAATAGTACTTGAGGTTAATACTGCACAGCATATAGATTGTCTTCTGGCCTATCGTGATAAGCACAGCCCTATTAAAAAGATGCTAGGGTACAGAACGCATTAAAAGGTAAAATGGGATGACAAACAGTACTCACCTCATTTGGTGGTTATAAAGATTATATAGGTTCATTCCCATAAAGTGCTTAGAATAATAGCTTATTATTGTGTGCTGTCGGGTTGGAATGGACTCATAGCTGACCCTCCAGTGGGTTTGCAGAGGAAGTAAGTTGCTGCCTCTGAAATGGGAATAAATGGAAGGAGCTTGCCCATCCTTCTCTGGAGGAGCAGCTGGTGGATTTGAACCACGTGCCTTTGGGATTACAGTGCACCTTCTTACTACTATGTACCAAATGCTCAGTGTTAGCTGTTACCTTCTTTCAAGAACTGAGTTTTCACTTGATATCACATTGTTGTTATTGTTGTGCACCATCAAGTTGGAACCACCAATAGCTAACCCTGCAGAGGGTTTCCAGAGGCAGTAAGTTGCACAAGAGCAGACTGCCCATTTCTCTCCCATGGAACAGCTGGTGGATTCAAACTGTCTACCTTTGCACTGGCAGTGCAGCTCCTGACCACCCAATCACCAGAGCTCTGACGTAGTGTCGTGCCCCATAAACTCTCTGAAGGTGTTCAGGAGCCCACGGGACCTCTTGCACAGGTACTGTTGCTATGTGCAGGGTGCTTGCTTCAGGTTTGCTCTGTCTCAGATGTGAACAGAAGACTACGTGATAGATGCATTTATATGAAATGAGAAATTTAGTTCTAGGCATGAACAGCATTTTTAAAATTTGGGATTAAAGTTAAATAAGACTGAGGTTATCTTTATTTAGAGAAAAATCTAACAGAAGAACTATGCTATACCAGTGGTTCCCTCAACCCTCAGTGACCCCCTTCGTCTGAGCACCATGACTGGGCATTGTATCAGCATTTCCAATAATGTCAAGAGGGAAAACACAGACCTGGCCTTTCATGGAAAGTATTCTTAACACTCACAACCAGAGTCCCTGCCTTCAAAACAAAACAAAACAAAACAAAAAAGCACAGCACTGATGATTTGAAGATCTTTAACTTTTCCTACAGCATCTCAGTACTTCTTGAAGAGCATATTTTCTGAGGATTTTCTTTTTCACTGTAAGTTTGAGCCACTTGATATTAAAAAAAAAAAATCAAACTGAGTCACAGAGGAAAAGTGGGCCCTTGGTATCAGTTTGATGTCAGGGTTTTTCCAAGTTTGAAAAAGAGCTTTAAAAACAGCTGAATTCAAGCTGACCTTCCATCCTTTGTAAAGATGCTGCTGACTATCATCACTGCTTCTGCTCTGTTCCTCAGCTCCATGGCTCACAACAAATGTGCCAGCCTAGTGGAGACCAACACTGTTGCACAGCTCATCCAAAAGCTGGAGGTAAGATTTGGAGGTGGTTATGGACAGAAGAAGTTAGCGATTAAAAATATTAGTGAATTACAGGAGGATGAAAAATTCATCTTCCAATATTGTTTTTATCCCTCTATTTCCACATTAGAATCACCCAACTTACAAGTGCAACTGCAACAACAATGTAAGTTTATTCTCTTTTTAAAGAATGAATTTTAGTTTTAATTTTTACACCTGGAATCTTCACACTGAAATCTCTCTCTTGCAGGCCACGAACTGCTTCTGTCTTCCCATCTCATCTGTAAGTATAGTAAAAGAATAAAGCCTTGCTCTTGTTTTTAAGTAAAAAGAAGTTACTTTATCACCTTTCAAAATAAAGAAGCATTCCCTTAATGATAGTTGTTACAGGTTAATACTCTCTTGTAAAAGTAAGCTCTTAATTAATGGAATTCCAAAATCTCTGTAGATGTTCATTGAAATGAAAAAAAAATAAAAAATTAAAAAAGTAAGCTCTTGAAATTCTAGATTATGTATTTTCTAAGGCCTTCGAGAAATTTGAGCATTCTCACTGTTTTAAAAAGAAAGGTAGCTTCTTTTTAGGTTAGTGGTATGTGAACAATGAAATCAAACTGAAATGGGTTTTTATATATTACAGTTCTTGTCATATTACTTTCTAATAGACTTTAGGATTGTGAAACAATGTGGGGGAAAAATGACGATCCTTTATCTGTCTCCTGCCGTAAACTATGACTCTGCTTTTCCTTCTCTGTACTGTCTCCCCTTCCTTCTCTCATTTCCTCTATCTCCCTCCCGCTCTTGTTTTCCTTCCTTCCTGTCCTTCTGTCTGTCTGTCTGTCTCTCTGTGTATAATTTAGAGTGGCTATCACATGCTTTAAAGAGGATTTGGGGCACAGTAGTTGTTGGTGCTCAGTTGTGAACTGAAAGTCGACAGTTCAAACCCACAAGAAAAAGATGTTTACAGTTTGCTCCTGTAAAGATTGACAATTTTGGAAACCCCATGAGGCAGTTCTACTATGTTCTATAGAGTCACTGTGACTTGGACTCTATCCAGGGGCAGTGAGCTTACTGCATGCTTTGAATGCTGCGTCCTGGGAGGTAACAGTCTGAAATTGTAGGGTGGGGGAGTGAACAGGGCTCGGACAAGCCCACTCCCCACTTTGATGGACATGATGAGGTCAGGAAGGTTCTAATTCTATTGTCTCTAATTCAAATGTCAAATAGACAGATTAGAGGAACTTGGTTAATATAAGGGAGAGACACCCAACCTGTAGTGCTTTACTCTCAAAGATGAGGCTTGAGTGTCTCACCACAGCTGAGGTCAGACATGGTCCCTGCCAAGGAGCAACTATCAGATGAGTATAAAGGATGTGGTGTGTTTTAGAGAGGAACTACACATTCAAAACTGTCTCCAGCCCAATTGTAGGCCATGATTTTAGCTGTAGCAGAAACACTGGCTGTATACGATTGGTACCACTTATCACACTGGTATGAAAAAGCAGTTCCTTTCTCTGTACTTTCAAATTTACAGTGACAGGACTTAGACAGGTATCAATTGAGAAGGACACTCAGAGCTATTTCCAGAGCACATAGGCCTCCTAATCTCTGGATGGAGCCTTCAAAAAACCTCCTCCATGGAATGTCACTGTGGAAATTTCCTCTTCTTAAAATAGTAAAGATCATTTCCAAGTTTGACAAGAGGGCTGTCTAAAAATTGTGCAAATTTGGGTTGCACTGACTAAATTAAAATAGTATCTAGAATCATTCCTTCTCAAAGCTTTTTCTCTGAATGCTTCTCTTCATAATTCCTCATCTTTTACCAGGAGAACTGTACAACACCATGCTTCCAGGAGGGGCTGGCTCAGTTAACCAACATCACAATGGGAAAGGATTTCAACCTGAATTTCCAGCAGGTGAAAAAAAGAGTTGAATTTCTACAGAAGAATAACTGTCCGGTAAGTTTATTTTTTTTCTGTGTGATTTGCTGTGGTTAATAATTATAAAGGGAGGGCTGGTGGCTTAGTGGTAAGAATCTGCACTGCAACCCCAAGGTACATGTCTCGAATCCACTAGCTGCTTCACGGGAGAAGGGTGGACAGTCTCCTCCGGTGCCATTAACTACCTCTGAAAACCCACCGGACTTGGTGGTACACAACAACAATGATTTTAAAGTGGATATGATTCAGGTGTTATATGAATGAGAAAGGATGCTAAGATTGGACTTGGTAGTTCGAAGATGGAGAAGAGATCACTAAGAAATACCATTTAATCGATATGATTAAAGTGAGACCTACCCCATAGAGCACTCACACCTGTGTGGCCATCGACTTCTCTCATCAAAAAATGAAGAATTCATCCTGATGGCTGTGAGAAGCTAGAGACTCCAGGGCGAGAACCCCACAAGACTAAATTACCCTAGAAATTCCATTTGCTAACTGAACAGATGCTGTGGGCTATAATGCAAAGAGGATCCTATTTCAGTTGGCTGAGGAGGTGTCATACGTGATAGCACCACTAGTTGGAATTTCTTTTATGTCAATAAGTTTTTAAGAAGCTGCCTAAGGTAGCTCTGGTACAGTCTGTAGGAAACTGTGCTGCTAATCCAAATACACCTCTCTGGTGGTTCAAATCCATCATGCCTCGAGGAGGACAGACAGTCTCCTCCAGTGTGATTTAGTCTCCAAAAACCTGCTAGAGGGTGAGCTATGAATTGATTTCCACTCAAAGGCAATGGGTTTGAGGTAGGTTTGGGTTTTGTTTACTTGTTTGTTTATCTGATGGAGGTTTGACTGGATCATACATGGAAGCTGCCCCTTGCCCTAAATGCTCCCAGCACATCTCTTTACTTCTTTAGAGCAAGTACTTTATGAGAGCTGGCTCTGTTGACTTCCTCTTACTGGGCGCTCTGCTCCCTCGAGGGATTAGTGTTTCTCCATGAGACCTTGGAAGCCAGTGGGCCTTCCTTTGTCTATTCAGCCACACATGACACACTCCCTGCTAGGTGTTCAGTCTGCCTCGTTTACCTGGCCCAGGAGAGACCGCCAGCTTTGACAAAATGCTATCTTCCCGTTTGTCTATTACTCTCTATTAGCAGTAAATATTTGCATTTTCTTTCCCTGGTAGGTTTCTTCCTTACACAGGTCTGAGTTTTACAAGGTTTGCCGGACTATTTTCTTGATTCTTACTTTAAGAAAAATTGTTAGACTTTATCGCCACACTATACAGAAGAGAACATTGAGGTTCAGTCAGGTAAAAGGTTTGCCTCAGGCAACATAGTTAATACTTGACAGAGTTAAGATTTGGCCTGAGTCATGTCTATGTTGCCTCCAAATCCCCACTCAGCCTTGATGTTGTAGATGACTTTGGAAAGAGAACCTGGTAAAATGTAACTATACAACACTAGGTTCCAAAAAACTTCGAAGGAAAAATTTCCTCTAATGGAGGGATTTAGAACCATTTGTTAGAGGGTATGTGTGCGCGCGCGAGTGTGTGTATGTGTGTGTGTGTGTGTGTGAGAGAGAGAGAGAGAGAATAAGAATGAGAGACAAAGAGACGGGGGTGGGGGGGAGGCAGAGACAGAGTGAGATAGAGAAAAAAACAGAGAGAGCAACTAGACCTGATGAGTCCTCCACCTGTCCTGTCTGCACCGAATGCTACCCTAGTCCTCCCAATGCATTTCTTCTAGGTCTCAGCCCCACTACTGCCCACCCTTCTCTTCACCAACATCCTCACTCCCTGCTGGTTTCCGGTGCAGTGGCTTCCAGGACTGCTGGGTCTGGTACTGTTTTAGTCAATCTGTTCTTGTCATTCTTAATTCCCACAGTTTTTTTCCTGTGACCACCGGTGCAGTCAAACCACAACAGTCAACACCCTGACATTTCTGAAGCATCTCTTGGAAACTTTCCAGAAACAAAACATGAGAAACAAAGTGTGAAGATGAAGTAGTATTTATTATATTTATTGAATTATAATACCACCTTGTTTAAGCTTTTGGGATTTTTCTTTCTTAAAAAAAAGATCAACAACAAAGTAAGCTATTCTAAATCAAAACCAGTTGTAATGATTTGTTGAGAGCTTTATTTTGGAATAAATATATGTATAAAGAATTTCAAATTTCTCTCTAGATGTTTTTTTAATTTTCTTACTGCGCCAGAGAAAGCTACAAACTCTGCCAATAGGCAGACTAGGTCATCGATTTCTGTAGTGACCACAAGCTTTTTTTATCCCCCCCCATCAATAAAGGAATTTTATTTTTAAAATTTTTATTTTATTTTGGTTTGAATAGAAAAATTGTGTACATTGTGCTTCACTCATGTACATGGTGTTCCAGACATTCTCTCATTCACATTGCATTTCATACAATCATTTATATGCATTGTGGTTTAGGAAATTAATCACCATTGATCTCTGCCTACTGCCATCCCATCTTTTCAGGTCCCCCCTGAATCACAAGACTCTTAATCTTGCATGTGTATGTGGGGACTCAGGTCTGGAGCAGGGCCTGTAGTGTTCATATTGATATGTGTTGGAGTCCTGAAGAGTGCAAAAGGGTTTGTGCTTGCCAGATGCCTGGTAAGTTGGTGACTTAAGACCACTTAGCAGTACCACAGAAAAAGTCCTGGTGATCTGCTTCCATAAAGATTCCAGCTAACAACACCCTGTGAGATACGGTTCTACTCTCTGAAACACATGTTGTTGTTAGGTGCTACCAAGTTGGGAATAACTCATATCAGTCCTATGAACAACAGACCTGAACCCTGTCCTGTCCTGTTCTGTGCCGTACTCATCATCTCTGTCATACTTAAGCTCGTTGCTGCAGTCACTGTGTCAATTCTTTTCATTGGGAGTCATATAATTTTTGCTGGCCATACAGCTTTTCAAGTATGATGTCCCTCTCCAAGGAACAGCTTCTCTTAGCAACATGCCCAAAATATGAGACAGAGCTTCATCACCTTTTCACCTTTGCTTCCAAGGAGCACTCAGGCTACACTTTACACACACACACACACACACACACACCCTACATATTTGTTTGTTATTTCGGAAGTCTGTGCGATATTCAGTACTCACATAAAGATACTGTAAATTGGCACCAGGTTGACAGAAATACTTTGGGTTTTGTGGCAGGGGTGTTCACAGACAGCTGTCATGGGAGGTTGGATCAGGTCTGAGGCCTTGCTCTCTGTAGCTGTGGGAAGGAGGCACAGGCTGAGGGATTAGAGTTTCCAGAAACAAGACATGCATCTGCATCTAACCTGGGATCAGGAAGAACTTTGATAAGTCCGGAAGGTGAGAGGGTAGTCTCAACAATGTGGGCACGCTCAGAGTTAGAGAGAAAAATGTTCAAGGCTTAAGTACTTAAGAAGGATGTTATGGAGCAGAATCCTAGAGTCAAAATTCATGTGTTCCCCTTACATGTTCCTCCAGCATCCACACACGGTAGGCCGGTGTCCAGTGAAGGATAGACCCTGAGGGATCCTTAAACAAGACTGTCTGGGCAGCGTGGTGGCGGCAGTCATCCTCCCCTTAGTCCTGCACCTGCCTTGCCCCAGGACTCCTGGCTTCACCCCCCACGCCCACTCCAGAGATTCTCAGCTTCCAAGATGCACATTCTCTCTCCAGGTGTATTGCACCTGGCATAAAACGATGTGTGTGTGTGTGTGTGTGTGTGTGTGTGTGTGTGTTATATGAATGAGTGAAGGCCTTTGAGATATAAAAGCAAAGTACAAACTGGTGTCTAGGTCTAGTATGCACTCCTAGGGCAATGACTGTATACAGAACATATCTTAGGTGCTCGGGAAAGGCTCCTTAAAACATTGCAACACAGGCCCTCTTTGACCTCTCTTGCTCTGAATTATGGGCAGGTGGAGGCAGGATTATGGTTGGGGTCCTGTAATCTGTCATCAGAATGACTTACTCCCACTACTTTATTTTCTTTTAAAATGTCTTTATTTTTACAATATTTTTGTTGGTTTTCATATAATACTACCTTTATATTATGTTTCATTCATATACATTGTGTTTTATTCAATCTTTCATTTACATTGTGTTTCGTACAATCATTCATATACATTCTACTTTGTTGTTGTTGGGTACTGTCCAGTGGAGTACGACTCACAGCGACCCTATGAACAAAAGATCTGAACTCTGTTCTATCCTGTACCATCCTCACACTTCCTGACACTCAAGAGCCCATTGCAGCAGTCATCCTATCAATCCACCTGGGTGAGAGTCTTTCACTCCTTAGCCGACTATCCACTCTTGCCAACGTCATGTGCTTCTCCAAGGAACAGCCCCTCCTAGCAACATGCCCAAAGTATGTGAGGCAAAGTCTCATCATTCCTGCCTCCAAAGAACACTCTGGATGCACCCTCTCCAAGATATATCTATTTATTCTCTTTGCCATCCATGAGATATTCAGTGCTCTTCTCCAACACCACAGCTCAAAGGCATCAATTATTATTCTGTCATACGTATTCACTGTCCAGCTCTCAGACACATAGCAAATAATTGGAAGGACCATGGCCTGAATCAGATCTGATATTATTACTCCTCAATAATTTGGAATTGTTCCTAACTGCACGTTTTCCCAGTTCAATGCATGTCTTTACTTCCGAACTGCTGGTACCAAGAGACCAGGCAATTGTGGATCCAAGCAAGATGAAGCTGTTGACAATTTCAATCTCCTCTCCATCCATCATGGTACTGCCTATTGGTCCAGTGATAAGACTCTTAGTTTCCTTGATATTGAGCTGCAATCCATACTGAAGACTGCGTTCCATCTTCTGCAACAAGTGCTTCAAGTCCTTTTCACTTTAAGCAAGTAGGATTGTTATCTGCATGTCATCTGCATCTATGCCATCTGCATAACATAGGTTATTGATGAGTCTCCCTCCAACCCTGATGTCACACTTCTCTTCATAGAGTCCAGTTTCTCAGATAATTTGCCCAGCATATATATTGAATACTACCTTCACACATTTCCTTCTCAGTTCCAAAGCATGCAGTGCTCCCCTGCTCTGTTTACACAACAACCTCCTTCTACAGGTATAGGTTCCACATGAACACAATCAAGTGCTCTGGGATTCCCATTCGTTTAAATGTCAGCCATAACTTGTTATGATCCACCCAGTCAAATGCCTTTGAATAATCAATAAAGCATAAAAACACATTCTTGTGGCATTCCTTACTATCAGCCAGTATCCATCTGACATCAGCAATGATATCCCTGGTGTTGTGGCCTCTTCTAAATCCTGCTTGAACTTCTGGCAGTTCCCTAAATAGGCACTGTTCTAGCCAGTTTTGAATAATCTTCAGCAATATTTTGCTTGCATATGATATAAATTATATTATTAGTTTCCTTATTCACTTGGATAGCCTTTCTTGAGAATTAGAACAAATAAAAATAAAAATTTTTATTATATACTGGTTTACTTAAAAACTCACATCCATTGTTTTTCGCGCCAGATCTTTCCCATTTCCTACACACACACATACCCCTCCCCTCATCCATCAAATTTATCTCATTACTTTAATTCTTAGAAACCTGTAAAGAGCTGTCTGCTGTTGTAAGGTAAATTCTGTACTGTAGAGGGTCATTTCTTTTTCTTCTTCTTATTATTAGGTGCTGTCAGGTGATCCACAGCTCATAGTGATCCTTGGAGCAACAGACTGAAAGCTTAGTGATCTCCAACATATTTGAGCCCATTGTTACAGTCACTATGTCAAATACATCTCGTCGAGGGTCTTCCTCTCTTTTGCTGACCCTCCATCTTTCTAAGCATGATCTATTTTTCCAAGGACTGGCCTCTCTTGATAACATGTCCAAAGTATGTTTGATGAAGCTTCACCATTTTGCTCTAAGAAGCGCCTTGGTTGCACTTTCTCCAAAACACATCTGTTTGTTCTTTTAGCCATCTGTGGCATATTCAGCACTCTGCTTTAACATCACAATTCAAAGATATCAACTCTTTTCCTGCTATCTTTATTCATTGTCCAACTTTCAGATGCATAGAAAGCAATTGAAAAGACTATGGCTTGGATCAGGTGCACCTTAATCTCTAACTAACATCCTTACTCTTCAGCATTTTGGAGAGGTTCTTGACAGGAGATTTTCCTAATGCAATAAATCTTTTGATTTCTTGACTACCATTACAATGGATATTGATTGATTGTAAATCCAAGTAAAATTAAATTGTTCACACCTTGAACCTTTTCCCCATCTATCATGATATTTCTCCTAAGTTCAGTGGTAATGTGTCCTGAACGAAGGTGATGTGGTCCGGTGTGTAGAATCAGTAGCTGGAAAACATGGACTCAACGACAGAAATGGAGCTGGAGATAGAATTTTTGAATTTTGCACAATCAACGACTTATTTATCACAAACATGTTTTTTAAGAGACATAAACACAGGTTATACACATGGATTTCACCTGATGGTATGCATAGGAATCAGATCGATTACATCTGTGGGAAGAGCCGCTGGAACAGTTCAATATCAGCTGTGAAAACTAGGCCAAGAGCTGATTATGGAACAGACCACCAACTACTCATATGCAAGTTAAAGCTGAAGCTGAGGAAAATTAAACCAAATCCATGGGAACCAAAATATGACTTTGAGTCTATCCCACCTGAATTTCAGAACAATCTCAAGAACAGGTTTGAGGCCTTGAACACGAATGAGCGAAGACCAGATGAGTTGTGGGAGGATATCAAGGGTATCATTCAAGAAGAGTGCAAATGTTCATTACAAAGACAGAAGAGGAAGAAAAGACCAAAATGGATGTCAGAAGAAACTCTGAATATTGCACTGGAGTGCAGAGAAGCCAAAGCACGAGGAAGAATTCAAGATACTAAAGAGCTGAACAGAAGGTTTCAAAAGGCAGCTGGGATGACAGCGTGGGATAAAATATTACAATGAAATGTACAAGGAG